GGGTTCATCGGGACGCTACAACACAGAGCGAACACCATCCTGACAGGCAGAGCAGCCAGGAGTTTGTATCAGGAGTATCGGAATAGTTGAGACTCTTAGCACCGCGTCTCTTTGGCTTTCAAACCGCAAAACAGGCTGCGCCAAAAATTGGTCAAAACAGAAACAAAGCTATATAGTGTATGCTGTTAAGTAGCAGGAGGATTGCCATGATGTATACATCGGGGAAACCAAACAACCTCTGACTATCAAAAGGGCCTGGAAGCCTGTATGTAACTGCAGACTCAAGTGCAGAACCAAATGCAGAGACAACAGAGTAACTTTTGTACAAACATCTACATCTACAATCGTAGAGTTAAAAAAAATCCTAAACATCAACTCCATTAGCAATAACCCAATCATCCTTAATGGACGTCCTCTGGAGGAAGTACACTCTTTCAACTAACTGGGCGGCATCATCGACTAGCAACGTGGAACCGATGCAGATGTCAAGGCAAGGCTCAGCAACGCAAGAGTCGCCTTCATCCAGCTCAAGAACATCTGGCCTTCCAGAGAGCTGACCGAGACTACCAAGATCCAGAGATGGGCAGTAACGCGTTACTTTTAATGCGTTACTGTAATCTGATTACTTTTTCAAGTAACGAGTAAAGTAAGGGATTACCATTGCAAAAACGGTAATTAGATTACTGTTACTTTCCCGTAGGAATGCTGCGTTACTGCTTTACTAAAACCGTGATTTTTTTGCCAGAATGTCTCATGACAGTGACGTAAGCGAGTGCGACGTTCGTGACAACAGCTGTCTGCAGATCAACAATGGATCATATATCAAGTGCGGGAGAGAGTATGCAACGTTTAAAGCTTGGAAGTACTGACCTTACTTTGAGTTTGATTCCATAAAAAGTGACAAAAACATTAGCGTCCATTGTGGGTGGGAAGAAAACTTCTTTTTACACTGAAAAAAACCCGTAAACTTCCAAGCAAGCTCCGAGTGCGCAACGACGTAATGGGAAATTCACAGAGAAACTCGCGGATTCTTCCACTGACCGCTGTGCCACACCTGCACCAGAGCACACCTCCGCCTACCCCACTCCTGCTTTACAGGTGAAAATAGAGCAACAGGACTGCTAGTCTTTGATTTTATTTACTTTCTGCTGTGTTTTACTTGCATCTATTTGAAAGACTGAGTGCAGACACAAAAAATATTTTATTTTATGTGCTGGAATGTGCAGAAAATAGGTTTAAATGTTAAACTAATTTCTTCAAGTCAGAGAATGGTGCATATAATTTAATTTTTGCTTGATGCATAAAGTTAAAAGATTAAAACGGATAAAACAAGTTTAAAAAAAAGAGACTTTTCCATTTGATTACATTTTGTATGATGGATTATGCAGAAAAAGTAGAATTGGCTTGACAGATCTATCGTTTTATCACCTATTCAGGTTATAAATCATGTTTTTAAAAAGTAACTAAGTAACTAAGTAATTAATTACTTTTGAAAATAAGTAATCAGTAAAGTAATGGGATTACTTTTGGGGGAAGTAATCAGTAATTAGTTACTGATTACTTTTTTCAAGTAACTTAACCAACACTGCCAAGATCCGACTGTTCAACTCCAACATGAAGTCAGTCCAGCTGTATGGGGCTGAAACTTGTAAGACAAACAAACCTCAAACAGAGAAATCCAGACATTCCAGAACAGCTGTCTCAGAAGGATTCTCCACATTCGCTGGCCAGACACTATCAGTAACATAACCTATGTTGAACCTGTCAACTCCCAGTAGAGGAAGAATCAGGAAGAAAAAGAAGAACGGACAGGGAAATCTGCGCTTTCACAGATAGCACTTTATCAATAAAGAAGTGTAGGAAGTTTTCACAAATTTCCTGAGAGGACTCGACACCAACAGTCTGTGGAGCATGAAGGACCCTGTCAATAGTCTTAAATAAGACATGAGGCTTACGACAATTTGACTGAATAATAGCAGCAAAATGTTTCCTCTTAGCATCTTGTACAGTCTTCTGATAGGAATTCCAGTAGTTTTGTAATATTTGGTATGACACCTGAAGTAGATCCTTCTTCCATTTACTTTCAGTTCTCCTACACTTTCTTCTGGCAGCACAGAGTGTCTTCATTCAGCCAGGGTTCAGATTTGGCTTTAACTTGCCTAAGTTTAAAAGGGGCCACCGAATCTAAAACAGTTTGGCAGACTGAGTAAAATCATGTACTCAGCTCTTCTGTATCATTACATATGGAGTCAGGAAGGCTGCAGTTCTGATTAAAAACAATAGAGAACTGACCAGCAGAGGAAGGGTTAAAAATACGACAGCATCTAGCAACAACAGGAGGAGGATTAACTTTGGTACAAGGAAGGGAAACCTCAAACAAGACAGGCTTATGATCCGACCATACAATATCACAAACCTCTAAGTTAGAGACAGGTAGATTGTGAGTTAAAACAAGATCCAACGTGTGCCCATATTTTTGGGTAGGCACAGACAAAGGTTGCACAAGATCAAAAGAGTCAATAAGATTTAAAAAGTCCTTTGCCATTGGCTTGCCAGGGCAGCACACGTGAATATTTAAGTCCCCAGTAATAAGGACATGATCATATTTTGGCATAATTTCAGCCAACAGATCAGAAAAGTCATTTAAGAAGTCCTTATTGTATTTTGGGGGTCTGTAACCCACAGCACAGAGCACTGTGTGACAGCAACCTAGCTCAAACACACTCAGTTCAAAGCTACTAGGTGATGTTGATAAGGACAGTGGTTTACATTTATACTGCTTCTTAAAAACAACTCCTGCTCTGCCTGATATTCGAGGAGAGTTTAAAAAGCAGCAGTCATCTGGTAAGAGATCTATGAAAACGCTGGACTCACCGGCCCTCAACCATGTCTCAGTTATACAGAGGAAATCCAATCCTTGGGTCATAAAAAAATCCTTTAAAATAAAAGTTTTATTACTCAGCGATCTAGTGTTCATCAATCCAAATCTGGTGGAGGTCAGCGTGTTCTTGGCTGACTGCGAGACCCGACACAGCGGCCGCAGGTTCTGTAGGTTTGCACCGCGCCGACGAAGATGAGGGAAAATCTTTCGCGGCTGGGACATCTGATCCGAGCCAACAACGGGCACCAGCCAGGCATCGATGGGCTCCAGAGAGCATGGAGAAAAGACATGGCGAAGCACAGATCCACGTTCATTCCAAGGAGCTGGGGAAGAGCGCACCAAGTATGGCTTAAGTTTCACGAGCAGACCGCTGCGTTTGCCCCGGCGTCTGAAACGCTTTCGCTGTGAGGCTGGGGCCAGGGTCCAACAAAGGTTAGCTGGTATCCCAGATACCGCACGCCGCACGAGGCCGCTTTGTAAGGCGCTCATATCACCAGTGGCGAGACCCGCGTTGTAGGTGGCGGTCCTGGCGTTCACATCAGTTTTCTCTGATGGACTCTCCATCCACAAATGCACATTGGCCAAGAGTTGGGAATGTCTACTAATGTCCGTAGACTCATCAAGTTGCAATGCAAACCTCCCACTGAAGCGTATCTTGTCCAAAACCACACTTTTGATGTCTGCAGACATGTCATCAATACGTCTGGCAATTGTGTTATCTGAGAGCAGGACTTTTTCGGGGGCTATTTCTTTAACTGCATCAGGTCCGAGCATCTCATTCACAATGGCTTTGCAGGCAGGTAGTGTATTAATGTCTCTACTACGGTGTGGTTTTTTTGCTATAAGTTCAGCCACTAAGTGGCTAGCTTTGAGAGCTCTTTCAGACACCTTTGTGTTTTTTCTCAGTAAAGTTGTTTCTCAGCGTGTTCAAGCAGGCAAACAAAATAGTCTCTGTTCTTGTTTTGAAGTGAGGGATGTTTTGTGTGGAAATGGCGTTTGAGCTTGCTTGGGACCATGGCACTGTTTGAGAGCTTTTCTCCACACACCAAACATAACGGAGTCGGTGCAGTCGGATCTCCAGTGAAAGCAAATCCGAATGAAAGATAACTTTCGCTGTATTGCCGCGAGCTCACCGTTTTTGCTTTCTTTTGACTAGCACTCGTACTAGGCTCTTCTGGATTAGAATTTTTTGGACCAATTAATTAAAATTAAATAATTTCCCACGGCACACCTGACAATCTCTCATGGCACACCTATGTGACACGGAACAGTGGTTGGAAAACACTGGGTTACCTGATCCAGCCGTAACTACATGCTTTATCAAAAAGGAAAGTTTGAAGCAAACTTTCAAACTTGCCTTTCCTTTTCCTAGTTTTAAGACTATAGTCTTAAAAGTAGAGATAGTGCCTGTCTCCTAAATACAAACTGGAAGCTGGTTCCACAGAAGAGGGCCTGAAAACTGAAGGCTCTGCCTCCTATTCTACTTTTAAATACTCTAGTAACAAAAAGTAAGCCCACAACAGATCATTTGCCTCCTATCCAAGAATACTCCTCTGTCACACCATCCCTCTGCATGTCCTCCTTCAGTACATCCTCCTCTGAAGTCTTGCTCTTCTCCTTCTGCCTGGTAACTGTATCTCCAGCCTCCACGCTCCCTCCTCTCCACATGCTCAATGCAGCTCATTTGTGATCCTGTCTATACTGCTCTCTGAAAATCTTCACCTCTGTCTCCTGTCTTTTTGTCAGTGCTACTGTCTCCAAAGCATACATCACAAAAACACTCAGATATGGTCATTATGTTTGTAGCCTCTGCCACAGCCGCCTCTGTTAGGTGGCTGGTTTCTGGAACCTGTCTAAGGACTGGGACAGGGCTTTCCTGTAGTGCAGAGTTGGTGTGGAGCCAACTGGTCAATTTTGTTAGTGTATGTACACTCGTTATTTATAGACACCAGGTCTATGAATAACGAGTGTAGAGGAACTTTGTAGACTCTCCATAGGCTCCTGTTGTTAGTCTTTTTCTTTTGTTCATTCTTCTGTTATTCACATTAGTATTTGTGTACTTTTGCAATGCCAGAGTTGACGAGTGGTGTAATCTTGAATGTCTGTTGTTTCATTGCAGTGAAATCCTGGAACATACGGAGCTGGATGGACAGATAAAGGTGCCCTGTCTGGGTTCTCTGCTCCCGCAAAATGAGCTGAAGCTGCTGGAGGAGCAGTACCTGACCCACAAAGAGGTAAAGAGCAGCAGGAACTGATGCTGCTGTCGGGTCAACTCAGTTCTGTCCCCCCATGTTAAAACTGTTGAGGGTGGCTTCTCGCTTTGGCCTGATGGTCGGCTTTCTGCTGGGGTGATTACATAGAGAACCCCGACTCTATGATAACTCAACAGCGTCTGATTATAATTTGTAGAACAAATGTGAAGTGAAACGTTTTCTTTAGGAAAAGGTGAAGCTGTGGCTGAACACTGCCCTGAAGAAGGAACAAGAGAACTGGCTGAGTGGAAGGACACCCGAAATCATCGATGGTTATTACTTCAGTTGTCTGGCTGTAGACGTCATACAGGTGAGGCTCAGGTGAGACCCATTGTGCAGGTGAGGCTCGGTCTGTGTTAAGTTGATTAGTGTTGTGATGTTTGTGTTTTCAGGTGATGACCGGTTCCCTGTCTGAGTTCAGCTGTGCCATCAAAGACAAGAGAAAAGCTCAGAGGCTCACAGTTCAGCTTGAGAACTTCATGTACAGGTACAGTCGTACTATGTGGTTCGCTAATCTTGAACTTACTTTTTATGTTACGGCATCATTCCTCCCATGCTCACTGAATATTTACTACAAATATATAACTTAATGCTGTCAGCATTAATCCCGTTAACATGAAGTTAACGCCATAACGGCATTAACATGACAAATCTCCGTTAGCGAGTTAACGCGGATCGCCCCGTGCGAGGGCTGCATGGCGTCAACGTGTTAACGTTGTTACCTTGTTAACGCATTAGCACCCTGCAGCCCCTTGCACGGGGCGATCCGTGTTAACTTGCTAATGGAGCAACGATAATGTGGTTATGGCGTTAATGTCATTTTAACGAGATTAACACTGACAGCACTAATATAACTATATTGTAACGTTTTCCACTTTAAATAAAAATGGTAGAGCTCAGCAATAAATTGTTCCACAAACTTATTTAAATAAAATTCTTCATAAAGCCTTCACTGCTTGTTCACATTTTCCATATTAAAATTGATCTTCAGTCAATATTTGAAGTCTGTTTTTGACCTGAAAAAAATGCAGACATGTAAATGACGTCTGATTGACACCCAGATGTGTAACAAATGTGTGTGTGTGTGTGTGTGTGTGTGTGTTTCAGCTATGTGAAGTGTGTGGAAGAGTTTGTGAAGGGAAACCATGGTAATGTCCGCTCGGTGATCAAAGCTCAGCTGGTCTGTGAGCAGCAACTCAGGTGAGGTCACCTGTTCAGTTCTCAGACACCTGAGAGTCTTTGAAAGTCTTCCAAACAGAGTGGACTAGATCACATGACCTGTCTAAGGACCAAGGATAGAGTAGGATTAGATCTACCTAACTTTCAGCACTACTTCTTAGCCAACAGGCTTCAATTTATCTCAGGATGGCTAAAACATACCTACATCAAGCGACATGAATGCTTTAAAAGCATCCACATCAGCTCTCTGACAGCATGGGAGGAGTTTCTAAAATTGACACAGTCTTCATTAATCCCATGCAAATGTGGCACCCCGGTGAGGGAATGGCCACATTAATATTATTTTGTGTAAAACACTTGTGTTATGGGACATTTTTCCTTACTATATGTACTCATTTTCAGTTACTTTAAAAGAATAGAAACCCATGTAAAAGGGAGTCATTTTATGTTAGAAAGCAGTAAGGGCGGAACGTTGGTGGCTGCTCTAGGGTTTCGGGGTGCAGTAAGTGGAGCCCACCTTCTGCTGCTTCCTCAGACACGTTCTAGAGGAAAACAGAGATGCATTGTGTCTTCCTTACTCCACTCTTCACCTGCTTTTACAGGTTGGTAAATGGTGTTTGTACTGAAAAAGTTGTTTATTGTTACCACAGTTACCCATGGTAATGTGAATGAGAGAATTTAAGGCGGTCCGCCTGAGTTACTTACAGTGTTGTGCAAGTTACTTTGAAAAAGTAATTAATTATAGTTACTAGTTACTTCTTCAAAAAAGTAACTGAGTTAGCAATTGAGTTACAATATTCTAAAAGTAATTAATTACATGAAAAGTAACTATTGCGTTACTTTAAAAAAAACGTTTAACCCCCTGGGTCCAGGGTATAATTGGCCATTTTTAACTACTTTTGATTTTCCCTCCACATTTTACCTTTAAAAACTATTTACTTTGCCTTGTGTTAATTCCAGTTCTTTTGATTCTTAGGGCCAAGAAAACACGGCTCAAAAGTGGTCTTTTACTTTAAAAAATGATCTTTATTTACATTTTCTGGAATATGGAGACCTGAGCACACAGCACACAGCCCCAGGTCTGAAGCACAAACGGAAGCCTAGTTATTTATATACTTGCTCTCATGTCACACCACACTTTAAGTTTCGATCAAACAGCCTAGTTGGTTTCACTTTCACTTCATTTTAGCTGCAAAAGCACGCTCTGCAACAGCAGCACTTTTTGGCACAGAGTGTACTCAGAGTTAGGCCTTTCTCATATGAAGCAATATAATCAGCATATAAACATTTGATATGATAAATTTAACGTCAACACTTGTTTGGTATCATCCTTTTCAGCACAACGTCCCATGTCTGAATTTACAGTCATGTTTTCATTTTGACACACTGTATTAACACAATTGAGCTATAATCAGACAAAAAACATAAAATCATAGTAGAAAAAGTTATTTTTTACTGTAACAACCACAAACATGTTGTCATGAAACGCTGTGTGGCAGGCAGGAGTAGGACCCAAGATGCAGGCACTCAGACGCGAGGGATGAACTCAAAAAACTCAGCTTCAATTGCTGGCACGGGAAAAGCATACAAAACTAAACTGGGAAAATATAAACTTACACTTGACAGAGAGGCACACGAGGAAACACACAGCTTGAGGCAGTGGTTCCCACACACACACACACACACATTGCCACACACACAAACACATCCTCCAACCACACATACCCATATTTTCAGGGGGTGGCTGTAGCTCAGGTGGCAGAGCAGGTCAGCCACTAATCAGAAGGTCGGTGGTTCGATCCCAGGCTGCATCCTGGCTGCATGCCAAATATCCTTGGGCAAGATACTAACCCCATATTTGCCTACTGGTGGTGGTCAGAGGGCCCGGTGGCGCCTGTGTCCGGCAGCCTCGCCTCTGTCAGTGCGCCCCAGGGCAGCTGTGGCTACAATGTAGCTTGCTATCGCCAGTGTGTGTGGATGACTGAATGTAGTGTAAAGCGCTTTGGGGTCCTATGGACTAGAAAAGCGCTATACAAATGCAGGCCATACCCATATTTTGCTCCATTGCGGTTTATTTCACACCTCAAGCATTTAGTAAACAATTAAGCAAATACATGTAATCTGCAATAAGTTACAGGTAGTAATAAAATAAACTACTAACTCTTTTAGGCTATGTCAGCACCTACACGGGTATTTTTGAAAACACAGCTGTTTCGTCCACACGTAAACGACGTTTCGAATCACCGAAAACTGAGATTTTTTAAACTCCTTTTTTGCGTTTACGCGCGGACGAGGAATACAGAGTTCGCCAATCAACGTCAAAGGTATGTGCCTTTTTTCACGTCACGCTGTGCGCCACGTTATTGTTTACATGAGGTGAATTGCAGAATGGGAGATAGAGACAAAATACTGTTACTATTAATCTGGCTATCTTCAGGTTTTACACGCTTAAATATACACACGCAGTTACTGTCCCTCCATTTACAAAGGCAGAGGCGTCACAGTGTGATTATTTTACGTGTAGTTGTTTTTTTTCATGTGTAATAATAGTCAACATTGCTATCAATACATTTTTCAAATGGAACAGAAAACAAAAGCAGTGCACAGTAAACACCGGAGCCCAAGAACACAGCCCAAACACAGTTCAGTTCAGGCAGCCGACCGTGCGGACGGCAATGGCGGCGGCGGCGTGGAAACAGATCAGGGGGCTGGCTGTGCGGACGGCGGCGGCGACGAAGGAGGCTTGGAGGCTGGACCAGACGAGGATGAATGTTCGGAGGCTGGACCAGACGAGGATGAAGGCTCGGAGGCTGGACCAGATGAGGATGAAGCTGCTGATGGCTGGACCAGATGAGGAGGAAGCTGCTGATGGCTGGACCAGATGAGGATGAAGCTGTTGATGGCTAGGCGGGCCCCTCAGACCCTCCAGCGGAGGCAGGTTGCTGGACGGGCCCTCCGGAACCCCCAGTGGAGACGAGGAAGTGCTGGCCAGGCCCTCCCGAGCTTCCAGCAGGAGCAGATGCAGAGCCAGAGGGTGTGGGGACCCCTGGCTGAACATTAGGCTGACTAGGTGGGTGAGTGTGTGGCTGACCAGGGAACTGAATTGCTACAAGGGACTGAACTGAAGTCTGAAGTGGCACAGGGGACTGAACTGAAGTCGACTCAGCTAATGGTTCATATAGGGGTTGTTTTTGTGTGTGTGTGTGTGTGTGGGGGGGGGGGGGGGGGGGTCATAAGCAGAGAGTGCTTGCTAGCGCTGTCCTTAGACAGTAAATGTGACCAAACTATTGAGGAAAAAGCGCCACGTATATATTGTTTATCATGACTCTGGTTTTACATGGCCTATCAACACAATTTAAAAACTGGTATATATCACCTTGTTGCTTTGTCTTTAAGTGGTCATGTTATTGGCTTACCACGACTACTTTATTCTTCCTCAGTCAAACAGCAGGACTCATGTGATTGTTTTGCCCCCTTAGCTCCAGGTATTGTGCTAGACAGTAATTGTGATTACAGTCCGCGGGAGCGTGCGCAGCTGCTTAAAGCTGTAGCGTCCAGATTACTTACGTAGTCAGCTACTTCCGTGCAACTGATATAAGATGCGGTAAGCTGAACACAGCTTCAACCGTCTGTTTGTTGAAAAATAGTAACGGACCGCATTTTCTTGTTAATAACTGCAACGGCATTGTAACGATAGGAATAGTAATTAGATATCAAATCAAATCACTTTTATTGTTACATCACATGTGCAGGTACATTGGTACAGCACATGTGAGTGAAATTCTTGTGTGCGAGCTTCACAAGCAACAGAGTTGTGCAAAATACAATAACGTAAACAAGCAAAATACAAGAATGGCTACATCTGAAACTAATAAATATATGTACAATATATAATAGTATATGCATTTCTGGATGTGTATAGTAAATATTTTTCTACGTGTGTGTGTGTGTGTGTATACACATATTTTACAAATTACAAATTACAAATTAAATAGAGTAAACAATAAAATAAAATATATAAAAATATACAGAGTTGAGACATGTGCAAAACAGTGGCATTACTGTACAGTACGGAGTGCATAATGTTGAAGTTCCAGTAGTGGAGGTGAGGTGTCTATGACGTGTTCAGCAGTCTGATGGCCTGGTGGAAGAAGCTGTCTCTCAGTCTGCTGGTACGGGACCGGATGCTGCAGAACCTCCTTCCTGAGGGAAGTAGTCTGAACAGTTTGGCTGGGGTGACTGGAGTCCTTGATGATCCTCCCCGCTTTCCTCAGGCACCGCTTCCTGTAGATGTCTTGGAGGGAGGGAAGCTCACCTCCAATTATCCGTTCAGAGCACCGCACTACTCGCTGGAGAGCTTTGCAGTTGTAGGCGGTGCTGTTGCCATACCAGGTGGTGATGCATCCAGTGAGGATGCTCTCAATGGTACAGTGATAGAAGGTCCTGAGGATGCGGGGGCTCATGCCAAATCTTTTCAGTCTCCTGAGAAAGAAGAGGCGCTGCTGCGCCTTCTTCACTGTTTTGTTTGTGTGTACTGACCATGTAAGATCCTCAGCCAGATGTACACCAAGGAACCGGAAGCTGCTCACTCTCTCCACAGCAGCGCCGTTGATGGTGATGGGGGTGTGTACTTCTCTGCACCTCCGGAAGTCCACTATCAACTCCTTTGTCTTTGCGACGTTGAGGGTGAGATGGTTGTCTTGACACCAGTGGGTCAGGGCGCTGACCTCCTCCCTGTAAGCCGTCTCATCACCATTGGTGATAAGACCCACCACTGTAGTGTCGTCCGCAAACTTCACAATGATGTTGGAGTTGTTAGTGGCCGTGCAGTCGTAGGTGTAGAGTGAGTACAGGAGAGGGCTCAGTACACACCCCTGTGGAGCACCAGTGTTCAGTGTGATGGGGGATGAGGTGATGCTGCCCAGTCTGACCACTTGGCGTCTGTCAGACAGGAAGTTAAGGATCCAGCTGCAGAGGGAGCTGCTCAGTCCTAGATCCTGCAGTTTCCTGTCCAGCTTCGA